TCTCGTGTGCCTACATTCTCTGTCGCGTGGACGAAGCAGCAGCAGGAAGATGAGAAGGACGCTTTGTCGCATAGATGCTCTACTTCTAGCTTCGGGAAACCATGGAGTATGGGCGTATGTCCATACTTCTCAAAACCCTGCAGATCGGCCGTCTAGGCGGCCAGTTCGCAAAAAATGGTGAGAAGACAGACAGCGCATCTCGAAGGTAGAAGTAAAGCAGCAAGACAGGCGCAGAGAAGAAATTTAGGCCCACTTCGCAACCTTACGGCACAGAGCAAGACTAGAGATCGATATAGCAAAGCGTTAGACAAATACAAGAGTTTCCTCAAAGATGAAGGACGACTTTTCCCGCGAGACGCCGCTGGCCATGACTACCTCCTCTCAGAGTTCCTCTCGGAAACTGGTGAGGGGAGAGCCCTTGCCTGCGATACGATCGCTTCGGTGCAAGATCAGCAGCCAGCCATAAGAGGACATTTACCTAGCGCCTGAGGTTGTTGAGAACCTGGCAGACCAATGAGATACCTGACCGGGCTCCACCATTGCCTGTGGAAGCACTACATGTCCTGGCCGGTTATTCACTTTTCTCTGGCAACGGAGTCTTCGGACTCTCCTTACTCCTTGCTTTTCATGGGCTCCTACGCACCGGGGAGCTTCTGGGCATCCGAAAAAACCACATCACTCAAGTGGGACCAAGGTCGCCCGCTGTCATTTCACTCGGAATGACAAAAGGAGGAAAGAGGGTCGGAGCAAGTGAAAGCGTAAGGATCAGAGAAGAGGAGACGCTTCGTAGACTGTGGCAATGGCTCCACACACCGGGTACGCCTTCGTTACTTTGCGGCGCACCACACAGTTGGAGGAAGACTTTTAATGATGCACTAGAAACATGTCAGCTTGGGGGCCACGACTTCCGCTCCTACAGCCTTCGAAGAGGAGGTGCCACCATGTACTTCGGACGACGTGGATCACTAGATCGCCTCCTAGTTCAGGGGAGGTGGGCCTCGTCAAAGACGGCCCGGATCTATATCAATGAAGGCTTAGCAGTATTAGCTGAACTCAAGTTGACTTTTAACGCACCAGCCAAAGCATATGCCCGACAATATACCAAGTCTCTAATGTCACCGCTCCAAACCCTTGAGCTTCCCCAAAAGGGGAGGCCAGGGGGACGTGGAAGGAAGCCAAAAAATGGCAAGAAAAGACACCGCAAGTAGCTCATTCCTTTTCTTCGAATTTGGACCGCCGGCGGAAAAGAAGAGAAACAACGAAATTGAAAGGGTGGTGGCCCAGACGTTCCCCGGCTAGGCGGGGCCTGGGACCACCCTGTGAGCCTTGGCGGGGGAAAGATGGGAGGGGTCCGAGGCAGGGGGCCTCAAAGTGTTTCTGCAGTTGCGTAATTTCATTTCTTATGACAACTTGGGTCTTGCATTGCGGTCAAAAAAGAGTGGAGAGCAGGGAGTCTTTGTACTTCCGGCCTCGGATATTAAGACGACCGTTCGTGAACTCGTTTTTGTGTGGTGTTTGGGCTCAAAGGCCCGCAGCCACCCGCCCAGGAAGGAAGCCAAAAAATGGCAAGAAAAGACACCACAAGTAGCTCATTCTTTTTCTTCGAATTTGGACCACCGGCGGAAAAGAAGAGAAACAACGAAGCTGAAAGGGTGGTGGCCCAGACGTTCCCCGGCTAGGTGGGGCCTGGGACCACCCTGTGACCCTTGGCTCTCTTCCACCCCAGTTAGGCGGGGGAAAGATGGGGGGGGTTCCGAGGCAGGGGGCCTCAAAGTGTTTCTGCAGTTGCGTAATTTCATTTCTTATGACCACTTATAGGTCTTGCATTGCGGTCAAAAAAGAGTGGAGAGCAGGGAGTCTTTATATATATATATAACATAACGTATGTATGACAACAATGAAATTGAAAGTAACTGAATTGCGTGACATGAGTGTATTCTTCGACGCACACCAGTCTCGCATTGTCGTGACCCAACTAAAAGCGCCAATGCCACTGGCACAGTTTTGGCTTGGGGCTTGCGTAGCTGCTAAGATTCAATCTTCCCATATTCTCATACTGGCTATTGCTCTTTCCTGGAATGTCCATGTTCATAAGCTGCATAACCACACGAGCACAACACTTGCGTGATGGGTCCAATTGAGCATGCGCAATGGCTGGTTCTTATGAACCCATGTGTAGTTGACTTTGCTGGTTGGTCGGTTCCTTGTAGTTTTGCAGTTGGTTGGAAGCGATGATGCAGATGAATTTTCCCACATTTTGCATGGTTTTGTTTGTCCTTGAACAATCTAATTTAATCTCATCTCCTTCCATATCCCTTATTTTGTGTCTACCTATCTTGGATCTCAACCCTTGTTGAACAGCTCGTCTAAATCCCTAAGCATGCGGCAGCCTGTTTGATATTTGTGCCCTTTTGCTGCCTAGGGCAAGTGGCCGCTGCCAAAATAGGGTCACATATACTCTGGTTGATTGTCCAATGGTGGCCATGATGAATGTTTCCTCTAGGCAGGAAGTTCGATGTCTGCTTTTTGATTTTACTTGGTCTTTTGCCGCCGAATCACTTTTGCTGAGAAAGTTTTCAAGGGCAGCTTGCTGGACAGACGGATAGACGCGCTATATTCTATATGGATGCATCATGTGAATATTGGCGCTTGAACCTTCGCAGCTAGACTTTTGAGCCGGAAGTCAAGATAGCCAAGCACGATAGCTTGCTGCATGCATGCAATCCATTCTCGTGCTTGTTGTGGACCTTCTGACTAGCAGTGCAAGTGTTCTTGACGACTGAGAAGTCCTGAGAAGTCTTTGTTGGTCTGGAAGTGTTTGCTGGTCTGAGAACGAGAAGTCTCTGTGTGTTGGATTTCTGGATTTGTTTGGTCTTGGTGGGTCAGATTTCTGGTTTGTCATGGCAGACTCCACTAAAATCACATGGGTTCTGCTCGTGTCTATCACAGATGAAACGGTGATGACAGCGATGTTCCAATACTACGTAGGATCAACACCCCATGCTTTAAACTCTCAGGCGAAGATTGTCGGAACGATATGAACCTTCCTATAGGACTTCTGAAGCTCACAATTGACCCTACATTTCTTCAGCGCTGAGGCCATGGCAAAGGGCGATATCCCAAAGGTTCCCGTGGTTGTACAGACGAGCCAGCTCCGCCCAGTTTGCTACCAACAGTTCCGAGGGTAGCTTTTGCATTCTTCCTGTCTTCTGTGGGTAGAGTTGCCAGACAGCTTGGAACATTGTCTGACATTTCTGGAAGGTATTATTCGATTAAAGAGTGAGGACAGTTGCTTTTTGCTACGCCAAAACGGATGCCAGGAGGCGTTTTTGGACGTTTGTGCGGTGACATGACCTACGGTAGCATGACGAGCGTTGCTGCGGCTGGCCAACTGAGATTGCGGAGTTGTGCCTGCAAGAGTTGCGTTGTGTGCGTTGCAGGGCAAACTTGTATTCCGACATCCAGTCTAGTCAAGTCAGAGAAGCTTAAGCAGTCAACATGTTGAGCATGATTGATCACGACAGCAACATGTCTTTTGAAGATCCTTCTCCAGCTACTTTTGTCCTCAGGTGACACTTTGGGGCTTGATCCGCACTGCGCGGTTGGACCGAAGGGCCGGCGGTCGTTGTTCCAGTCTTTGAACATGTCTACGCTTCCCTAGGACCTAGGAATTCAGCATCTGTTGATGTGTGTCAATTCATGCCAATAGGGACGGCGTTCGTAATAGACTATAGAGTTCATGTGTTGGCCAGTGTGTGAGCTCCCACACTTACCTGATCAGGGCTGTTTGATGAGTGATGCAAAGGATGCAAATGCTTTGAGGAGATGCCAAAGGTACCAATCTTGACCTTGGACTTTCAACCAACCATGACCGTTGCCCAGATCACCAGGCGGGCACTGGCAAGAAATGACCTCCAGTCCCTGTGCTTGATAAGGGGAGACAGTCAGGCTTCTTCGAGAACACAGAATTGGACAACATTTGACCAATCATTCTTTGGACTGCTTGTACCAATGGAGGCAGCTGAAGCCACCAATGGGCGTTGTCAGAATCTCACTTTTTCAAAAGTGTTCAACTCGATTCAAGCATGGAATGAAAGCACCTCAAACCGACAGGTCTAAAAAGCAAGCACTGGACTGCATATGATTCTAGTCGCAGCAGCATGTTCTTTGCTGTTTGACTTGCTTTCAACTGAACACTCCAAGGTTTTCAGAAACGGCAAACAGTTATATATTTAGGTGATCACACACACAATCACACACACACACACACGTTCACCCATTTGTGAGTCCATCCCCTTCTCCGGAAGTGGAGTTTCACATCAAGGTCAGGTTGTATTGTGCCGTCTTCCAAAGTTTGTGGCTAGAGTCTAGAGCCCCCACTTCGCAGGCAAGGAAGAAAGATGGAGAATCGACTCTGACTCTATAGTGACTATAGTGGGCCTTGAACGAAACAGGGAAACACTCACAGGTCTTTGCGCGGCACCGGCCATGCTGGTCTGGTCGGGACATCAACTCCCTTAGTTTGATTGCAACCTGTTTTAGTCTCCAAGTTTCTGTTTACTTTTGTTTCCTTTCCATTGCCCGTGCTCGTAGGGGGTTGCGTGTTGGAACAGGTGGGTGCTGTTGAAGCACCATAGGTTGGCAGTTCAGATCGGCAGCGTCCAAGCTGGACGCTGGCTTTAGTTTCCATTTTCAGGTCGATAAGTTGCCGCATGAAGTCTCAATTGTCTATTTTTTTCTCAACTTGAACACTTTATACAAGTATTCTCAGCATATATATATATATACACTGTATATAATATTATATATATGCATATAGTAGTATGTATATATATATATACAGTATATGCCCAGCATATGCAAATTGGCAAAACAAGTTGCATGTTTCTATTGTGCTACTACTTTCTAGCTTATTGCTACGAACATGGCAGATTGTTTGTCAACAAGTTGGCAAACAATCAAACATTTGCCTCAGCACACAGTCCAGAAGTAGGACCATGTGTCTTTTTGAAGGCTTAACTTCTGTTGGATTGTTCATAGGGGTGCAACTAATGTGCAACAAGTTTGCATGATCAACATGCACTGACAGCCCTTGCTTCCCCAGTCTGATTCAGACTTTGCATGAATATTTGTGATCCCACCACAGTTCAATGTTTGCCTTGCTCAGCCGCTAAGGCTGAGACGGCTTATTACAATAAAAGCAGATGGGAGCCACAGCTTGCCGCAGTCGCTCCTGCATGTTGGGTGCATGGCAGCGGGGCGTGAAAAGGGGATTGGAGGAAAGAGGCAAACTGACTTGTCAAAACTTTCAGACATTTTTGTATTCCAGGCTTTGAGCATAAGCATGGAGTTTGGAAGTTTGGATCTTGAGGTGTCTTGACACGATGCCTTGGCAAGATTTGGCAGGTTTGTTGTCGCTTCTCGTGAGCCTTTGGAGTCTACGAATTGACGCAGCCAGGTTCCGTCGCTCCTCCGCAGAGATTTAAAGCGTGATAGCTTGAGCGGTGGAGGAGAACGTCAATTTCAGCTTTTCAAAGCTGCTCTGTCAAAATTGCACAGGAGCTATCCCTCCAGGAGAGGAAAGAAAGGCCAAAGCAGAGGCATCGCCAAGGGTGTGTAGAAGATGTCATTGGTTGCTTGACATGCAATTCCCATTGAAATTCTTGACATCACGCCGCTGATATATAGATGATAGATTAGATTAAGTCTTCAACTCACTCCGACCAGTGGTGTTCACAGTCATCAAAACAACATTTGGATTTCATATATGTTTGAACGTTTGAAAGGTACTTGAACATGACAACTCTGACAAGTCACACAAGGAACAAAAATACCGGACTTACCTCAAGTCTTAAGATAAGTGAAGTTTTTGTGCAGTCTTCTTTGCAATCAAAACCAAAAAAGGAGCGTAGAAGGAACAACATTATGTATGCCAAAGAATTCTGCGTGCTTCGCTTTCATGCAGTGGCAAAAGAAAGGTCACCACCATCGGTACCCGGTTTGTCTACCCATAAAGATACAGACTTCTGTTGCGCAAACAAGTTTGATTTGATTGCACGAGGATCCAGCTGCCATGTTGGTCCCTCGAGCCATGCAAAATCGCTTCCAATATCTCATCTGATCAGTGCAGCTGTTTGCACAAAGTATAGTTCCGAAAAGGCATGTATACGTTTGAAAGAGCGCTCACTAGTTGAAGCCAGGTGCAGATATGTAGCCGCAACAGCAGGTCATGCAGTTCAGAATTCAACCAAACCTGGAACAGCCTTTCAACATTTAGATACATTTACTGTAGTCCTTCACACATTGAACACCGCAGGTGTATCCTGAAGTTGCCCACGATATCAGCATGCACTGACAAGCCTATTTGTTAGATGGTGCCTCCTCAGGTGTACGGCGTCCTCTTGCTGTGCAGATGTGTTCTTTAGTATAAACACACGCCAAGCGAAAGCTTACTTAGCAACTGCTTAGCAACTGCGCGCGTGTGCTTGGCCAAACTCGCCAAAGTCCAAAATTGGCGCCTAACGGTGCTGCGCACACAATAAATTTGTCAAAACACGCACGCAACGGCGCTGCACGCAGAAGCGACAGTCGGGTGAGCGTGCGGCCACTACGCCGTGCACACCCACGTGCGCGCTTGCAGCAGAAAAAGTTTGGCAAACCTCAAGTTTGCACAACAAGTAATATAGTTTAGTTTAATTTAGGTTTCGGCCTGGGTGCCCCTCTCAAGTTCAGAACTTGCAGCCTGGCCTCACAAAGCGAGAGTTTTCAAGGAGCGGGTCTTATAGATCTGATCGTCAGCTGATGCAAATCAGAAATCGCAGACAAAGTGGGGGTGCGTTTCCGTTTCCTTGGCTCGGCACACCTTTTTTTACTTGACCGCAGTCAGCAACGGCCACGAAGTTCAGTCGAAAAGCCTTCACTTGGACTGGCTCCTTGGCTGATTCTAGCTTGCAGAGACGGCCTCAAAAGTCCAGTTTGGGTGCTTGATTTTGACCTTTCTGAAGAAGTCCATGCCCATGCCAGACAAAAGAGTTAACGTTAAAATGAAAGAGGCGTTCAACAGGAGATTCCTTTTAGCACCTGGGCAGTGTAAGATTTTGAGCCATGTGGTTGAGGTCCGAGCAACAAGATGGACTACTGCTGGTATCGACAGGAATGGAAAAATGCACTGCTCTTAACTTTGTGTGGTAAGATTGGAGTCCGAACAGTCATTGGGAGAAAGAAAGTCAAGAGCTTTGCAACTTGCGAGGTGGAGGCAAACCCAGTGCTTTCCATGGAATCCATTCAGTGACAGAGTATCCCTCACCAAGGTCGGACCCGCAGAAGGAGAGATCATCGCGTGGATCCTCAAAAATGTGGAGCTTCCCTTCAAAGACAGGAATAACTCATCGCTGCTTCCCTTCTTCGACCCATACCTTTGTGTAAATTCAGTTGGAACTTTGTGTCCCCTATGACATTCTGAGCATTTTAGAAAACTTGCAGGCAAGGCAAAGCAAAAAAGATGTTTGTGTGAAGTTATCTTTCCCAATTCTTTCTCAAACAAGCGTCCTTTCAACGCTCTCCTGCCATCTCCTGTCTATGTAACACGTACCATGCCTTAGTGAAATTAATCCAGGTGACCACTGAGTCTCTGATCATAATTCTGGCCATGATTCTGTAAAACAACTATTTCTATTAATCCTGCCATGAGATTTGTGGGTTGTGAGTACTGTCGTTAATATTAATCATGAGGTGATGCAGAATGTGCACCCCCCTTGGACTATTTTCTGAGACTGCTCAAATGAATGCTTGCTGCAATGAAATGTTGAAGTCGTGGCGATTGTTTATTGTTGAAGCGTTTCCATTGGGACTCGAATGTATGGAAGTCGTGGCGATGTCGTGTTTAGTTGGGGAGAAGACAAGGCAGCAGCGGCAAACAAAACACCGATCAAGCAAAACGCCGATCAGAGCAGACAAGCGGGGAGACAAGAAAGAAAGAAAGAAAGACAGAAAGAAGGAAATAGAAAACCAGAGCCTGGTCCAAAGAGATGTCACGGGACCACAAGGAGGTTAACATCATTGCTAATCGTTGCGTTTCCATGCAAGACGCTTTGTGCTAGGGCAGGAACTTCAGAACACATAACAAAAGACATTGCAAAATCATTGCGCTTCCGTGCGGGAAGCGCGTCGTCGACATCTATCAGCAGGGATGGTGATGGCCGTGGTCAAGGACATGGACGAGAATCGGACGCTTGGCTGGCTGCTGATCAACCTCGTCAAGGAAGTCAGCCTTAAGCACAGCGAGAGCGGCAGGAGGTGCAGCACTCCAGATCACGACGAGAAGGCGGAGGCGACAGCTCCAGGAGCATGTGATCTGGCTGGGTCCGGGAAGTGCCTTCACCGGCGGCCGAACTGTCGAGGACTCAGGAACGCCAACGTGACTCAGGCGAAGGCACTTTGCCAGGCCTGCCAAACATCGACTCCGGGCAATGCCCCTGTGATGAGACCACCTACTTGTATGAGGATGAGGTGGGCCGATCCGCGATGTGGCGGAGTGGTAGGAAGCATGTTGGAGGTGAGAGGGTGCAAGGTATGCGCACTCCGCACGCCACCATAAGCAGCTTGGGCCGAAAGGCTCACCCTTTTTCTGGACTGCAGGTCACTGATGGAAAATGCCAGTGACCTGGGAGGAGTGCAAGTCGCAAGATGACACGTACAAAACAAAAAGTGTACCGAAACTGTTTTGCTTAGGCGAAAAAGAGGTGTCGAACAAAATTGATCCAGGGGTGCCTCCCTCTACTCTCCATCTTAGAAGGGCAAATGTTTCAGCATTCATGCTTTTACGACCACTTTCTCCAATGCAGGGCGTTCGCGGCGTTCGCCGAGGCACGGGATCCTTTGATTCCTGTTCGTTCGCTTCGACAATACTGAGAGCAGTGACAGTCAAACAGACCCAAGCCGTTGAAAATGGGGCATCATGCTTTATTGTAACAAAGGGAGAGGAG